CTTCTGTGCTGTCCTGGGCAGTTCCATGTACTTTTCTCCTGTTGCATGAAGGATCTTGGGTGACATGAATCAGCAATTAACTTTGAATCAGTAGCGCTTGCCCCAGCAGGTCATGGAAGTGGCTGAGAAGATCTCAGTCCTGCAAACTGCTGTCTGTGTTTTGAAAAACAGGAAATCCCAGAGATTAGCAGAGTCCTGGTGTGGAAGCACTGGTTAAAAAGGCATGTGGTGATGGCCTTGTCAGATGTTGGCCTTTTGGTCTGATAATGCACCTCCCAAGTAGAATCATGAACAAGTATTTGGGGAATTTCAGTAATGCAGAGCATAAAAGTAATGTTCATCAGCGTGGCCCTGTGAACAACAACTTTTGATTAAAGTGAATTCCGTTTCCTCAAAACCAATCTGTAGTTTCAGTTAGCAGGAGGCATTGGTTTTGAGTTGCTCTCATAATCCCTTGAAGCTCTGGTTTCAGAATGTTGTCACTCCGCCAAGTACTCTGCAAGCATGAGGCTTCCAAGAAATTTTCAGTCTCAGTACTGAGGTAATAGAGTCGCACCCCTGATTTTAATTTTTTACTGCCAAGTATCCCAGCGGAGAGTAAAACAGCAATACCATCCTGGGGGTAAAACACCAGGTATCAAAGTGAAAGGCTTTTTTCTGGTGTAGAATGTAGAAGAAACTGCTTGACAGAGGCCTGACAAATCAAACTGAAATAAGGAGTAGTTTCAATTGTTGGTGAGGTTCACTGTCACAACAGCTCTGAAGAGAAACAATCTATTTTTGATGTTACATACCTGTTAAAATGATCTTGGTGCTAAAGACAAACATGAGCAAGCTGTGTTGTTGGGTCCTTGGCACTGGGAAGGACATGATTCCAATAGCCTCATCTGGCTATAAAACACTGAACCATGAAAGATTAAGGATGATGCTTCATCTCACTGAAAGCTTTTTTCTTCTTCCCTTTTTTTTTTTTTTTAGGGGTTTATTTTGAAAAGGTCTTAAAGAGTTCAGATACTTCCCTGTGGGTGAGGAACATTCAGATGTACTTATCTGGGATTGTGGTGACTTTATTTGGTGTGTACATGTCAGATGGAGCCCAAGTTCTTGAGAAAGGGTTTTTCTATGGCTATACGTACTACGTCTGGTTTGTTATCTGTAAGTATCTTGTGGTTTGAGGGTCTTGTTACATTGCTTTGGTTTTTTTTCATCTATAACTGATTGCACAAAACTGCAAATTTGGCCTGACAGCCAGGTTTTACTGTATTTTGAAGAATTTTATTTTAAGGTATAATTTTCTTGGAAATTCACTTGTTCAGTTTAAAATTGTGCTAAAAGAGCAGTCTAAATGACTGAGTAGTGAGCAGATCATCTTTAAATGAGTCGTATCTGAGCTACTAGATGCCACGTAAACATCCCGTTCTGCTGAATGTTGAGTTAAAGCATCCATTAGCTCAAGTGAGGAGTATGCCAGTGGAGTAAAATCCATCATTTCAGGAGTAACCTACTGCACCTTTACTAACAGAAACGCGTTATCTGCTTTGCAGTTCTCGCCAGCGTAGGTGGCCTCTACACTTCAGTGGTTGTTAAGTACACAGATAACATCATGAAAGGCTTTTCTGCAGCAGCGGCCATTGTTCTTTCTACTGTGGCATCAGTCGTGCTCTTTGGCCTCCAGATAAGTAAGTGCCTTTTTGCCTTTGGTTTGCCCGTACATGCATATTTCCTTCGTGGCTGCACACAGGTCATACCAGAGCCATCCTCGTGCCTCCTTTTTGAGTTTTTCTGGTTTTTAACTTTGTCTTCTCTGGGACTCCTACGTGCTAATGGGTGATGTGTGTTGCCTTACAAGGTGCCTGATGACTCAGTGCTTTCAAATGCATTCCCGGTTAGTTCAGTTCTTGAGGTAGCAGGTGTCCTGCAACCTCAAGCAGAAAGCTTACAGGCTTAGATTTATTTATGAATTGCTTCCTGATGCAGTTTAGCCTGTGATACAGCTGTTTATCTGAGACTGCTGTGGATAAGTTATCATGTCTTGTTGCCTTTAGTACAGCCCAGTGCCAAATGAATTTCTCAGCTGTTTCTCTGGAAGACTGTTACTCATCCCTGTTAAGTTACAGCCACTACTTTTATACCATATATAAGTTTATACTATTAACTTTTACCTTCCCCATTTGCTGTGGACACCACGTCAGGAGAGTGAGTGAAACATCAGCTGGGGTCATGAACGATGGGAGTATTTTTGAGAGGAAACAGCAGATGGCTTTGGGCTCTCCTGCAGCTACAAAGGACTTTTTCCCTGATCAAGTCTGTGTCGGATACTGTACCCAGTAGCTGCTGCTCAGTCCTTCCCTGTTTAGATTTGGGAACTTCTTGTTTTCCTGTCATAATCCAAAGACTGTGTGGTGTAATGGTGGGAAGACAAGATTTCTAATATGGCATTATGGAGATGAAACTTAAGGGAGGTTTGCCCAAGGCAACTATCATCAGTGTTTGGCTGAAAAAGAGCACCCTAAAGCCAATGATGAAAACCAACTAGCTTTAAAAACTCCCTTTGGGCAGAACATTTTCTTGATGGTTGACACAAATCAAACCTGGACTGGTGATCTTTCTGGGAAAGCCTCATTAATAATTCTTAATCCTATCTAGAAATGGAAAGGCAAATTTTGTCACCACAGGCTGTGCTTTACTACGTCGTAACACGGTGTCTTTAGCATTAAGTTTATTGTAACATAAGCCTGTCAGGTGGCATCTGAAGCTGCAAGTGTTTCACACCTGCTGTTCTGACCATCGCGATGTTCTTGCTGATAAGAGGTATGGTGTCGGATTGTAGACTCTCGAGAGAGTTCTCAGTGACAGAGGATGAGTCTGGGTGCTGTGAATTATTAACAGCTTGTTGCCCTGTTTAGTTTTGAGTAACTTCAGTACTGTCATTCAGATAACATCGTAATTCACATAGCTCAGTGTTCTGAAGGCTTCTTCCCATAAGGAAGTGTTCATTTAAACTATTTTGTCTCCTTTCAGCTGTTACCTTCTCCCTGGGTGCTCTCCTGGTGTGTATTTCTATTTACCTCTATGGATTACCTCGACAAGACACCACAAAAATCCAACCATCAGAGACTAAGAGCTCAAAAGAGAGACTTGCTACTGTGTGACACTGTCCATAAAAATGGACAGACAGACAAGAGAAAAAACAGACTTTAAAAAAAAACTTGCATTTTTTTTTAAAATTAGCCTTAAGCTAGTCATGAAACAATTTAAGTGGGATAGACTAAAAGCAAAGCAGAGGTTAGTTCTGTTTTACATGTGAAGTTTCCAGTGGCTGATGCTGAGGCTACGGTATTGCCAAGGAGCCAGATGGGTATTTTACTGAAGGTATTCTTCATTCACATCAGACAATGAAGAGTCTCGTTTACAAGGAAAGAAGAGTGAAGGAACTGGACACTTAATTGTATATAATGTATATAATAGGGAGAAATTGGTCCTTTGTGTATTTGATAAACTGTCTTGGCCTTTGAGGCAGAAATGCCCCAAAGTTTCGTAAAAATCTATTAAAAAGAGCAATTACTGCCAGCATTTTCTCTTAAACTAGTTGGTAATTGCAGTTTGATTCATGACAAGAAGAGTTTCTCTTCTAGATGATGCTTATGAGATGACACAACGCCACCAGAATAACCATGCTTTGAGCATCACATTCCTAGAAGTTAGTAGAAGTAGCACTTGCTGTTTGATTTTAAAAGTCAGAATGAAAGACTGGTGTTTCTCTTACGTTGCAGATTTTCTTTTGCTTTTGAAATATTTTATACCTGCTGTAGCTGGAAGAGGGATCATTTTGACAAACACCAGTTGTACAGAGGAAGGTGCTCTTATAGTATCTCTGGCATAAATATGAGTAAGTCAATGCAGATAGTCAAACTAGAAGATTTTTATCTGTACATTTTCTCCATAAACCTTTCTTGTGCATACCAAGTGATGCTTGAAACGAGTTCCTGTAATGCAGGTTAGGCTTTTGATTTAATTTGTGGGTGGCAACTGTGTAATTTCAACCTCATTCCTCATTTTCTGAGGCCTTCCACAGAGTGCAACTCCGCATTGAGAGAAAACTCACTTTGGTGCATTTGGGCAACTCGTTTACATTCAAAGTGGAGTCAAAAATGTGACCAAGTTTATATCCTGGTTGGATTTTCTTCAGACAGGAGGTAATCACCTGGGTTTTGTGTGAAAGTGTGGCATGCTAAACAGAGCGGTAACAGCCGTGCTTACATTCTGTTTCAGCTGGAGAGGATGTTTCTCTCTGCCCTTTGCCATCTGTGCTGTGCATTTAACCAGCGTGCTGCCGCTCTCCTGCTGCGCTGAGGCAAGGCTTTGGCAGCAGTCGGCATTGTCGGGCATGTCCGAGCCTGGCGCAGTCACCTGCACTGCCTTACACATGAGGTTCCACCTCTCTTCAGCAGCGTGATGGCTCTGGGCTGCAGAGCAGCACCTGCCATGTCTGACTGCGTGTACGTCGCTGCCGAGCGAGCACTGCAGTTCCTGTTCAGCCAGCTGGGCAGCAAGCCTTTGCCCTGGTCATTGCATTGGCACGACAGAGGAACAGGTGAGGAACAGGGTGGGACGGAGGTGGCAGTTGGTCTTGGCTAACGTCACCAAGAGAGAAAAATCCTCTGGCACCATGGGATGAAGCTTCTTACAGTATCCAGAGCATGTGTAGCTGTTGTACCACTGGACCTGAGCACACAACAGCAACCGCAGAAGGGGAGAACTTTGCTTGCTTAGGGAAGCACAGTTAATACCACTTCCTCCACCCCAAGGTGGTTATATTTACATGGCAAATACAGCGCGGTTCTCTTATGGGAAATACCAGGTAGAGCAGTGTCTTCAGTACACTGCTTCTGCCATGTGCTCAGGAGAAAGTGATTGTGACATCCCTGGCCTCCTCCCAAGGGCTGGGCCATCCAAGCGCCTCTGCCATCACCACGGTGGAGCATGCAGGCCTGCAGCCTGCAATAGCAATGACTCACAGGAGAGTATTTATATTATCTTGAAAAAAGTCCTTTTACTAATTGTACCTTTATGTTGCGTATACAGCTTCTTTACATTTGAGTTACAGGTGTAATGCCGAGAAGTTTCATTCCATTGGCTAGAACCAAGCGTACAGCTTGAAAGAGACAGAGCCTTGCCTGCAAAACAAGAACAGCCATCAGCTCAGGGCTGTGCTACGGAACAGGGCATCATTCTTAGCACAGCAGTTAGGAGCCACACGTCAGAGCTGAGAACACTGTGCATCCTCCGTCCCCATGCAGGGTGCTGGGATTTGGACATACACATAACCTGAGTATCAACACACTGATGGCATCAGACTTCACACCAGCTGTTGACAGCCCATTGCAGTGTCACCAGAGAGGCAGTTTTGTCAACAAAGAGAGCTGGCAAGGGGTGTCCAGTCTGGTCTAGTATCCTCAGGGTGGAGGAACCAGAGGAGATGCCTGGAAAAGGGCTAGGGATGACTACCCAGTGAAAATCTTTGAAGCACCCTAGGCTGCCTGAGGATGCTGCCGGAATCCCTCCTCTCGCTGTGCCTGGGTTAGGGGCTGTCGCGCAACCATGGGCTTCTTTGAAAATTTCACACTTCCTTGTCAGTGTCTTAGCTGTTACACAGCTGGCTGTTTGGGAAAGGCTCTATTAACCTTGCTCAAAAAAAAAATAGTTCTTGAAAAGTGTCACAGTGTAAGATACATTTTTTTTTTTTTTTAATAGGATAATAGGATAGGATACTATTTTTCTATAGGATAAGGAACTGCAATTTTCCTTGTAGCTTGGACTGTCTTAGTCCATCTTCAGAGACAGGAATACCTACAGCATCTAAGCTGAGATATAAAAAGTGCAGCCCCATTAATCCACTGAAATTTTTCCGCCACAACACAGCTCAATGCTTAAATGTGACTTCCTACCCAAATTCACCTACATAACTGCTTCTGACATAGGTGAAAGAGAAAATAAGAAAGGCTTTGTAATCAGTGGATCATTTAGTGAGCAGTTAAGGGGCCAAACTTTACCCAGGCGATCACTGGAAAATAATTTACATCTGTTTGGCACTGCACAGAGTTGTCAGCCTCTGTGCTTTAGCTAGAGGCAATCCAGACAACTTGGATTATGTAGGTAGCAAGAGGGAGGAGACATTCGTTTTTTTTTCCTAATTCTCTGTCTTCCCATGTAACCACTAAAGGAAACCATAAGAAATTAACCGGAGCGTTAAATGCTCAAATGTTTACTTTGCAAAAGTTCAGAAGGAGAGGAGAGGCGATGAGAAGGCAGGGGCTTGCTTTGAGTTTGGAGCAGGTTTCCTCAGGGAGTGTTCTACTTTGGGAAGATGGGGCAGAGCAGCCTTTCCAGAAGGCACAGCTTGAGCAGCAATCCCTGCCTTCCTAAAGTGGTGCTGCCCAGGGGAATGGCTGTCTCTTGGCTTGGGAGCCTGAAGGTGCATTTTCACCCAAGGGGTCACACTGCTGGGGCGGGAAAGCCCTCTGCGACCTGGATCTCTGGGATGCCCAACACAGACTCCAGCCCTGTCCCAGCACTGCGCCATACCTGGGCTAGTTCAGGGCTGCTGCCTCTCACAGGAAGGTTTTTATGTGCCACGGCTGCAAGGTGGCTGAAACAGAAAACACAATGAGAATGGTGAGAATGAGCAAGTCTCTTGACAAGAGCACTGCTACAGGCTACAGAAAGCAACAGAACTGGAAGGGCCAGAACTGCAGCGTGCCACAGACTTCTTTCCAACAGGCTCTTTGACCTGGCTGAGGTAGAGCATGGTTTTCGGGAGCCTGCATCTTATCAGGGCTTGCCATCAACACCTTAATGCTTGTAAAATAAACCCAAACCAAACTCTCCACTTCCTGTTCACCCTCGCCCTCCAAAAAAGAAATATCTGAAACTGGTCTGGAAAGAATCTTGAGAGCCTGCCCTGTCATTCCCAAGGTGCATGATTCCTTATACGATTTTCCTTAACTTGTTAAAGCCTTCCCCATCCACAGGCTCTACAGCTTCCTCCTGCAAGTGTGCTCCAGTGTTTCACTGTGCCGCTCAATCAGACACGTCCCTGCGGGCATCCACCCTACGGAGGTCACGTACACAGTACAACTTACCATAATAATATGCTCTGTCTGTCTCAGCACATAGATCTGTGGTTAAAAAGGGCTTGGACAAAATTTCCTAGCTGAAATTCTGAGATTTGAGAGCACGTTATCAGCTCGAATCTGCTTTTTGAGATATTAGTCCACTATGATTTTGGGTTCAGACACTGGGTTGCAGCCAAGTGACTCTTAGTTTCTGAAGAGGCTCCTGGCTCCTTTGTTCCTACTTCCAACCACCATCTCTGCTATTTATTATTATTTGCTCCCCTACTTTATACCTTTCCTGCTCCAGAGACACTGTCCCACAAATTTACATCTTCCCACTATTTTTATTCTTCAAAGCAGCGCAGATGTAAAGGCTGCAGAGCCAGCTCAGGAAGACCTGCCTTTACAGAGACAGACGCCAGTACCAGCAATCACCTTACCTGAGTGTGAGGAGGTAGCTGACAATGTGCTTGGGTTGCAGATCCTGAGAAGATCTGTACAGGACCTCATCATACCTGTGAAGAAAGAAAAGGATTGTTTGCTGGTGAAGTGGTAGGAAGGTGTACTCAGATATGAGGCTCATCAGACTCACTTAAGTTAGACCAAACACACAGCCACAAATGACGAATTAACAAAAATAATCTTCTGAACCAAACCTAAGCCATGTAATTAGCACATAACTGGTTATTTCTTCCTTGTTCCCTTATTACTGAAGGAGATTGTTTCTGCTCCTCACCATGCAAACACTGGAGATGGCAGAGCTCCGAGAGACAGGCTATAGCAAAGAGAACAGAAGAACTATATTTGCTCCTGGAACATTATGTCTGGTTTTACACTTCAACACTAATTGTTAGTTCCTAGGAGCGAAAAACAGGGATTAAATAACCAAAGCAGTCAAAACAGTCCCTTAGAGAATGTTGTCTTAGCAAATGCAGCTTAGAATTTTAAGTAGCTGAAGGGAGTCTTGTACATTAGAAACGACAAAAAAGAAAGTGGGTTTACATAATCCTGGAATAAAAACTACTTATAAGACGGTATTATACAGGCAGCATCCTGGAGATATGTGGTTTTTTCTTTATGTATTCTGCTCGCCATTTGTGCACATCCTCTTCTCCCCAGCCTGCAGGAAGTTACCAACACTTCTGAGGCTGAACAGATTTCAGGCTCCAAGTGGGGAGTGAGCTTCCTGGTCTTTGCTCAGCTCCCACGCCCATCCCTGCCAGCACAACCAAGCTGAGCTTCCCTGAGATCTTCCTCCTTTAAAAGGCAAGCTGCAGGAGAACCGGGGAGCCAGCTCCAATAATGAGGCCTCCGTGGTCACCTAAGAGCTAAGGCACCAGGGAGGGGCTGCTCCCCACACCCTTGGCAGGTAAGCTACAAAACCACCTCCTACAGGTGCAGTCAGGGGCTCATCTCAGCCAGCATGTCCCCAGGTGGCCACTGGTCACGGGAGCCTTTATATCACTGTGAGAGAGACAAAATCATTCTCTCTTCAATTTTCTCAGGGACAGTTTAGATACCGGTAGCTGTTGGTGCTTCGGAGACAGTGACATAGGTATAGAAAAATTACTATTATCTTAACAAGCACTATCAAACAGCCATTAATAAAGTTTCATGAAGCAACAATGTCGGTATCGAAGGAGCCGTCTTGATACCAACTTTGTTGCTTCATGAAGCTGCCATTTCAGTGTTGGCCTACAACAACGTAAGATTATTTCATCAGTCTAATGGATAACCTAAATACCACTTTCTGCTGCAAGTAAAGGCCCTGGGAGATGTTTCATACAGATTCCATGTGGCCAGACTCAAAGGCCTTCAGAAGAAGCAGACGCAAAGCTCCACAAAAACAAGAGCCCTGCAGTGGAGCAGAAACCTCTGAAAAGACCAACTAGTCTTCCATGAATTAAAATTGCACTCAATAAAGAAGACACTGCTGGTCTTTGAGTGCTGGCTGGTCTTGCTGTTGCTCAAGAGAGCATGCAGCACACAATGAACTGCAGGCAGACGTCCTGAGGCAGCTACAGTTAACAGCAGAACGCTGCACCCTACAGCTGCAGGCTGAAAGGGACTCTGCCATGACTTGTGGGAGTCCGAATTTTAAACGTGTGCCCTCAAGAAGGCCAAAGGAGTCAACTCTCTGGCTCTGTGCACTCCACAGTGCGGTATACAGGACCTCTCACTAGGAATTCTGAAAGACTCAGTTACTCCCAACTTTACTGAAGGCTGTGCAACACAGACAACTCCCTCGTCTCCGTATTTTAATTATACACCTATGAAATAATGGAAACAGAAACTGCTCAGGTTTAAGATTGAATAAATGAAGGACATTACTGCTGTTAGCAGGTATTAGTTGTGCACGTTCAGTAGTTCTGAAGGATGCTGAGCTACTGACTGTGCATGCACATACTCCATTTTACCTCACCCAGGAGCACTTCTCTTCCCTTTCCCACATGACAAAAACAGAACAAGAAGCAGCAAGCAAATCTGTGGCTAGTATTTATATAGAGCTTAGCATATTTTTATGAAGGCAAGAAATTACTAAGAGGCTCATGTACACAGAGTATGTCCCAAATATTGCTCTT